CCCCCACCCCCCCCCCCCCATTTCGCTTTTCCACTGTTTAATTCCAGCGCGGTTTTCCATCTGTAGCTCTTACTCTGGCTCAGCTTCAGTCAGACTCTATGTGCCGATGTCTGCTGCATCGCTCTCCACCTACCCAGCCTCGCCAGCATCATACTCTCTGAAGACGATTTGAGTTCCTGACTCCAGGATAAAACTATAGAAGAAACCACTCAGCAGCTCCTGCTCCCTGCGCCACCGGCGCCTTCCTGATTCCCCTTTTTTCTGAGTGCTGGTTCTTTAGCTGCTTCTTCCTGGGAGCTGCTCCACATCCTTGCAATAAGGAAGTTAAGAAGTGATTGTCACCGCCAACTTTTCTGCAGCCCTGCAAAGCTCTCCTGCTAACTTCCCTGTGTCTGTTAGCAATACATCCTGTCACCTCCGCTGAAAATGTCATTCTCAGGATGTTAATTTTTATTTTTTTGTGATCAGCTCAGCCTGCCCTGGGGACAGGGCTGGTGCAGCCTGTGGTGCCAGGGATCAAACCCAGGTCCCTGCAGCTGGCCTAAGTGTGCCTAAGCAGGCGCTTTAGACCGCTGAGCTATCTCATCAGCCCCAGGATGTTACTTTTTGTAGTTCCTGTTCTCTTGTGCTCATCTAATATTTTGAAAAGATTTGACAATCTAAACTCTCAGTGTCCCTTGATTGTTTTTTCAGTACTAGGGCTTGAACCCAGAGCATGCATGCTAAGCAGCATCTCTGCCCCTTTTTTAATTTTTTATTTTGAGACAGGTACTCACCTGAGGTACTGGGTTCAATCCCCACTAAGTTGATAAATTGTCAGGTTGTCCAAGGTGGACTTGAACTTTTGATCCTCCTGCCTCAGCCTCCTGGAATGCTAAGATTATAGGTGTGCGCCACCACAGCCAGCCTACTTCTTCCTTTCTTGGCCCATGGCTACCTGTATAGTTAGGTAATTAAACAAATTACCTACATTTGATTTGATTTAGAGGAACATTATAGTGAAAAGATTAGAACTTTTGGTTCTCCCAGACTGAGGCTTAAAATCCAGCTTTCATTCTTGCTAGCTGTGTTCCCTTGGGCAAGCCAATTAACTTCTTTGATCTTCATTTCTAAATATTTTAATAATACCAAATCATTATAAATGTTAAAAAATGTTATATGGATAAAGGGTTGGCTTGTTTGCACTCTCATAACTGTTGTTCTTGTTATAATAGACTTTATTAACTTCTAGTATGTATATGTCTTTTAATTCATATAACTTCAATAAGCTGATAACTCTGAAAAATCCTCCATTATCTAACAGCAGTCGGGCCAAGGATATGGTTCCAAAGCGTGAGCACCTGGCTGGCAAGTGCAAGGTCTCAAGTTCCATTCCCGGTACCAACAAATAAAAAATAAAGTTGGGCCCTAACTGCGTATTAGTCAAAGTTTGACATCTTGCCTGCTCCTACCCTTCTTGCTCACTCCATACCTGGAATAAGTAGAACCACTCACCCTTCCACAAACACGCAACCATTTCTTTCTTCCATTTCTTTGCTCCTTCTTTCATTGCTGTATTCCATCAAAGTTCTACAAGGTACAGTCTTAATAAGCAAGTAACTGTGGGGTCGGGGAGATGGCTCAGTAGAATAAGTGCTTGCATGGCAAGTTCAAGGGCCAAAATAAAAATGGTGTGGCTCAATGGTAGCGCACTTCCTAGCAGGCACCAGGCCCTAGGTCCAATCCACCCTGCGCCTGGGCTTGGACCACAGGTCCCGCCGGCCCAGAGTAGCTGGAAGCTCTCCCACACACTCACCAAGGCCTGGACTAGGATTGGATCTGGGGGTCCCCAGAAAGCGGCAGAAATTCTTACTCAGCGGGTGAGGGGGG